TTACTTATGTCTATTGATTTAAATAACTGTTAAAGGAAATGAAAATTATGAACAAGAAATTAGATTTATAATAAAACTAAGAAAATACAATTAACTTTAATTATCAATGAAAAGATTATAAAATTATTATAGAACTAAACATTAACTTACGACTATACAATAAACCAATTACAAATATTTGGGGAGAAATGTACATATTTATAATATCCCACTGGTTGAACTCTGTCCAATTGGCACATTGGGTTATCTGAAGAAGCAGCAACTTATTCGAGCAAGCGTCGTCAGGGTCTCCCCAGTCTATCTCCTCAAGCTGTGAAAATGTTCATTCGTCAACTTGTTAAATCAAGCGGCACTCGTCGCTGATAATCACAGTTCATGGAGAATGAATGAAAAATCCGGTGTACACCTTAAAACTAAAATATTTCACAACAAAAAATCCTTAGCGTGCCTCTACACTTGCGAGGTTCCGCCATCTCTCCTTAAACTGCCTTTTGTTTTTCCTCCCAATCATCTGTTGGTTATTCCAATCCGAAATAAAATGAATACTTAAAACTAAGGCTTATTATAAACTAATATTTATTATTGAAACTAATACTAAATACTTAATTTTATATTTAACCCTCTTCGAGTTAATACAAAAAAACTAACAATTATTTTATGAACTAATTTTTTTTTGTATTTTATTTTTTGTCACACTATCTACATACAATTACTTTAGTCTCAGTACATAAACTGAGGACTCAGGGCATTTAATAGCTATGGTAATACTTCCTTGAATGTTAGCTAACAAGGCACGTGTTGATGCCATGAGCGGTATTTAAGGGCCATGAAAAGGTATTCTAGTAGCGAAATGCATGCCCTTGTGATCCAGTTCTACCTGTACCAGTCAAGCCCTTCCTAATGAACTAGCCTGGAACTCTACGTCTCATCTAATTTAGTCGCCATTGATGCTGGGACCTATAATAGTTGATTGATGGACACTCAAAACGTTTATCTTGCGACTTTCGTCATCTAGCCGACAGACGATATTTGATAGTGATTTAGGCTTGGCTGTCATTCTAAACGATACTGACTTAATTAATACTGAAGTTTTTTCCCGTCGATTTTGCTAATTCTAAAAAAAAGAAAAGTATCACTCAGCATCAAAAATATTTTTACTCCTGAATTTTAAGACTTTTTACAAGTGTTCTATCGACCATATATGCAATACATAAAAAAATAAATAAATAAATATAGGAAGTTAATAAATAAATTATATATATATATATATATATATATATATATATATATATATATATATATATATATATATATATATTTGTACTAATATTCAACAGAAGGATGACTAGAGTCCACATAAATGAAAAGTACTTGATACTGACCTTTAGCAAGCGACTGAAAATACTATACTCAATATTTTTCAATGCAAATTTAAAAATCGAACAAAAAGCAAGTACATACACCTAACTACTGAAACCCATATACGCTTCATAAATTTACGGTTCTGAAAAAAAGACAAAATCTGCAATCATATCAATCCAAAAAAATTAAGATTACTAATGTTGATCCTTGGTATGTAAACTAGTTGTTTAATTAACTTTGAAGTGTACTTGACTTCACTCACAGCTTTCGACAGCGAACTATCGATCAACACATACGTACTATTTACGTTCCCCCCTTCATTCCCGATTTCATTCTAAACTACACGAAAACAACAACGGACTTATTAATCACAAGGCAAGGGCTGAAATTCCCATCAGGAGGCGACTAAATAGGAGCTGGATGAGAGATCTCCTTTCCTGGTTTAAGGAGGAAAACCCAGACCAGGAAGAAGTGCTGCTAGGTACCATTCTTCCTCATTTCTGAATTGCCGTTTATCTTTGCAATAACAACACATTTGCTCATTGTCAAGTTTATGACAGGTGTGGATAAAGATATAAATAATAAAAAAAAAATATAACAGTAAAAGTGATAAATAAGAAATAATAAGATGAAGTAACTGTTAAGGGTATTGTGATCTCCAGCAATTGCTTTGTACCAGTATCTTCCTTGGAAGCAACTAGTAAGCTGGGCCTCTTGACTCATGTTATTAATAGGGATCCAAGAAATCTGTGTTGTTGAATACTGTCAGGATTGTGAAGAGCTTTTTCAATATCCAATAAATTTAAAGTTGAACACATCTTAAAGAGTTGGAGTTGATTCTTCGCTCTCCAAGAAAAAATAAAAACTTTTTGAAAATTGCTGGAAATAAGTGAGATAAAAGAAGAATAAATAACAAACACTTCAGAACTAAAATAAAATTTCTTTAACACATTTATACCTATGTACAATATTTCGCCCAAGGAACTCCGAATCAAGCGGAAGGCAAAGCATGACTAGGAGATCCCAGTGCTTCTCCCTTGACGTGTCACTGATATTGACACAGCACAGACGCTCAAGACTTGTATGGTAAAGCTGGTCATTGTCAGAACTCTAATAGCATATTTACAAGAGGCGTTGCGTCCACTGTCGGCTTAACATTAGAAGGAGGTTTATGGAATGGTCGGAACTGGATAGAGATTGTGCTAAAGTGCACCTATAGGCTTTTAATGCAGGCCATTAACTTTACCATTAGCACATTAGGCTATTAATGCATATTAATAGGCATATTAATATGCATACTAATAAATTAATAATAAATTAATTAATGCATATTAATAGGCATATTAATATGCATACAATAGGCCAAACGTTTATCTTCACCTAAAACCTTTATTAAGTCATATTTCTGAATCAGCTATTGAATTTATTTGATAAAGAAGAATCAAATATTGATAAATATTAAACATAAATTCATACCTTTATCTGCTGTAATAATTTATTGTTTTAAACATCACTTTTCATCTTTATTAACTTGGCTCTTCAAATTAATTAACTAAAAATTTAAATTTGTTTATATATATATATATATATATATATATGTATATATATATATATATATATATATATATATATATTATATATATATATATATATATATATATATATATATATATATAAATGATAAATTTAAATCTTAAGTTATATATATAAGTTAAGACATGAATAATAGTCGGATAATATTTCATGACCTATTATCCGACTATTATTCATATCTTAAGTTATAATATATAAAGGTCGAATTATAAAAAAAAATTGTAGTATTATCTATCTATATATATATATATATATATATATATATATATTGTGAGAGATAGATAGATAGAGAGATTTGAAACTTATATTAAGTTAGTTCTGTTATATAATAGTTTGGTTTAGTTGAATTATAAAAATGTTCCAATCTTGTAATAATACTGTCCAACGAGAAATTCAGGGTTGAGGTAATATGTGAGAAATAGAGAGAAATAAGTGGGAGTTATAAGTTAGGAGGCACTAAGTTTCAAAACCCGTTCCATTATTTGAAGCAGTTATATCATGGAAACTTTACCCCACTAGGATTACTTTTTTTCCTACATCCTCAGCTTTTCTTCACCCTTCACTGTGACATTCGAGATTAATGGGTTAGCTTATAAGATATAAGAAGCTGATTTATAAGCTGACTATCTAATTTTATTGAAATTAAAATTATTTTATAAAAATTAAGGATTTTTATAGTTATATTTGATTTGATGTGTACAAAATGGTACATTGAATTGAAAAGCATGAAAGTGACATTAGTCGATCAAGTAGGGCTTTTGTTTATTCTTTTCGATTCCATATGAAGCATTAACCATTTTAGAAGTGTCAAGATTCATTACATGGATCTTTTGATGAATAAATATTGACTTGATTAAGATGGGGTCGATCCTACACCTCTTCACTTTATGTTCGTATTCTTAATAATTTAAAACATAAATTATTAATATTTTTTTATCTTAAAGCTTTTTCTTTTATACGTTCCACTAAAAAAAAAAATATATCATGGTCAAATTTACTGTGCAGACACCTATAAATCTATTAACATCATTCGTGTTTATTGTATTATAACGAAAAAAAAGGTCAAGAGTTAAATGTTGTGTATTTGTCTTGGATGGAAAATTTTACTGTAGAAATGTTTTTCGAAGTATGTTGAATTGTGCTGTTTGTGTTTTTTTGTTTTAGTTTTTTTATGCGAACCCCAAACATTTGCACTGTAAAATCGATTTGATCTTACTATAGTTTTGTACATTGATCGCTTGTTTCGTCGGTGAATTGTTGTACGATTGTCTGTTGTCCAGAAGATGTGACAATTGATTTTATCATCTGATCAATTCTTGTATTTTAATGTATGTTCCGTATAGGTATTTTGCATAAGTAAAGTCAAAGGTATCGTAAATAGATTTTTGTAGGAAAGAACTTTAAGTGGCTTGATTTAAAAGCGTTAATTTTAATTGCTCATTTTTAAAACGCTCAAGATCAAATAATGTTGTGTTTTGTAGATTCTGAAGTGTAATTTTGGGGAAAAAATTATATCCGTGAAAACCTGATATATAAAATTATAAATAATATCAAATAAGTATCCTATCAAAAATTAAATTTTATTAAATATTATTAAAAGTAGCAAAATTGAAGGGAAAACATTTTAACTTATTTTACAATATTTTAAACAAGAGTAAATTTAGAGGTCTATAGAGCTTGATTATAGTATTGGAATAGTTTCTTTATCTTAAATTTCATTCTAATCTCAAGGATTTCGTAAGAGTCCGTTGTCGAGATGTTCTGTTTTAAAATGGAAACTGGGACATTAAAGGTTTAAAGAATATTAAGTAACGATGTCATAGATTTTAGAGGAAAAGGAAAAGTGGAAAATTGAGTTTTTCTGGTCATTTCCCCATTATCCAGACCTTAAACCGTTTTTCGCAAATGGTTCGGTATGATTTTTTCTAAATTTTATTACAATCTTAATTCATTATACTTATACCGTTATATTTAAATTATACAGAAAAAGCTTCTATTCATTGGACATTGGTTATATGATGTTGCAGACCCCTGACAGATGCGGGATGGCTGACTCGACAGAGACGGCCAACGGGGATCAAACCTACATCTTGTTCCTCCTCACGAGCCTCTACTCCCTCATCTTCGTCACAGGACTCATCGGCAATGTCAGCACCTGTATCGTCATCGCCAAGAACAGGCACATGCACACAGCCACCAACTACTACCTGTTTTCTCTAGCTGTATCGGATCTTCTGTTGCTAGTATGGGGATTGCCACAGGACGTCTACCTTCTATGGGCGAAGTGAGTATTCCTATGAAATGTCTGAGTAATAGATATATAAGTGCATGTTCCCACAAATCTCTACATCTTGAGGTACTACCAAACCTACTCTAGCCAGAGTGGCAAACTCGAGATTCGTTCTATAGGTCGGATTCGAACCGACGCACAATGGGGCAAAACGCTCGATTCTCTGGACATGTGTTTTGGATCCATATATTTATTTATAATAATTTAAATGGGTTTATTATAAATGGGTTTTTACTCTGTGTAATTTGACTAAATTCGATGGTACTTTTGGTGGCAGCAATAACATAAAATGATTTATTTTTTATTTCCTTTCTTAACCTAAAGCAATTTTAAATCAATCAAGTCTGGAAAAAAAAGAAGATATAGTTGGAACGAAAATTCCTTGCAACCGCATTAGTTTTTAAATAAATTTATGTATATATATAAATAAAAAATACTCAGATTATCAACGTGATAAAATGTTATATTAGCCTGACATAAGTGCATTTAGTCAATTTTGATCACATATTATAGATTAAAGAAGAAACTCATGAGATTTGTAGAATGAAAAAAAAAGATTTAGGTCTTAACAATGCATTATCGTTTCTTTAAATTCTGTACTTTAAAAATTACGCGGGTCATTATTTTTTTAAAAGTTTTTTTAAACGATATTTTATTTTTATAAAAAATGACGTTTATTGGTAAATGATAAAGAAAAAAATCAGTTTAGAAAAAATAAAATTTTTATCAGACATTTAAAAAAAAAAAAATTGTATTGGTTTATTCCTTATTAACACAATATAAAAATATAACTAAGGGAAAAAAAGCGAAAATAATATTTTTTTATATGCATATATTATTATGTGTGCCGTGTGGATCTAAATTTTTGGAAATCGGATTCACATAATATCTTGTGACAGAACATTTCATATAAATGTATAATCTTAAAAAATAATATTTCAATAAATTTTTGTAATTGTTGAATCTTCGAAAATTCATCAATATGAATAATTTGCATTCGAAAATAAATTACTTAATAAGATAGGTTAATGGAATTCTTTCATTTTCGTTTTGAAATCTTCTGAAGGCAGAGCTCTTATTAAATATTCACAAGATAAGATTAATAGCATTATAATTGAATAGCAAAAGCTTTTTAAACGATATTTTATTTTTATAAAAAATGATGTTTATTGGTAAATGATAAAGAAAAAAATCAGTTTAGAAAAAATAAAATTTTTATCAGAAGATGGTTTATTAAAAAAAAAAAAAAAAAAAAAAATTGTAGCGGTTTATTCCTCATTATTTAAATTCCTTATTAACACAATATAAAAATGCAACTAAAGGAAAAAAAGCGAAAATAATATTTTTTTTTATATGAATATAAATATTTATATTCAGATAATAATAATTATCATGTGTGCCGTGTGGAACGAAATTTTCGGAAATCGGATTCACATAATATCTTGTGACAGAACATTTCATATAAATGTATAATCTTATAAAAAAATATTTCAATAAATTTTTGTAATTGTTGAATCCTCGAAAATTTATCAATATGAATAATTTACATTCGAAAATAAATTACTTAATAAGTTAGGTTAATGGAATTCTTTCATTTTCGTTTTGAAATCTTCTGAAGGCAGAGCTCTTATTAAATATTCACAAGATAAGATTAATAGCATTATAATTGAATAGCAAAAGCTTTTTAAACATTTTTAATTTTGCGCTATATAAATTGGAGCGCCCTACTTTAGGTCAAATTGATAAGATTAAAACCCTTTGGAATTGATTACAAACACACTACGATGCATTTCAAGGCTTAAAGAGCGTATTTTATACACCTAAAGCTATTACGTAAAAAACTCGAATGTCACTAGTTTTGACTTACTCGGCCGTCGCTTTATTCAAGAATGGCAAGAGAAAAATTTAATGCTCCTTCACACAGAACGTGAAATTTCCCGGCGCACAGATGGGGGAGTAAGGGAAAACTCGCGACATCGGCTAAATCTATTTTATTTTATTTTTCGATTGAACTATTCAATAAAAACATACTCTGCCAATCGAAAATATTCTCAGAAAATCCATGAACTTTTTTTTTTTTTGTCCTCCCCTTCCTCGCCTTTAAGGTTATACAGGGGTTTGCCCGGGCCAGGGGGAGAGGACGGGGATTTAAAAGACTCCTCCGGCACCGAGACGCAAACTCGTGACTATTTTTTACCACAATCTTATATATCAGGTTGCCGGGCAACGGCGGGGCAGTGCACACGCGTTAGCCCATTTGTCCAACCCGCCCACGGAACTCCAAGAAATCCACAAGGTATCAATAAAACTAATAGGTATCAATAAAGACTATGGAGCATAAGGTAGTCACCCACCATTTATTCCTAGACTTTAAAGCAGCATACGACAGCGTTGATAGAACGCAACTATACTATGCCTTGGAGGAGCTAAGCATCCCTCAGAAGCTCGTACGCCTAATCAAGATGACCATGGACAGCTCGAGATGTAGAATACGCGTCGGTTCTGACGACTCCGAAGAGTTTAAAGTGAGCAGTGGGGTTAGGCAAGGGGATGCCCTCGCCTGTCTATTGTTCAACTTGGCAGAGGAGAAAGCTGTAAGAGACTCCGGTATTCAGACCAACGATATAATCTTCAATCGCCTGACACAGCTTCTTGGTTTTGCTGATGATATTGACATAATAGGTAGGTCTGAACAGGCTCTCAGAGAAGCGTTTATAGGCCTTGAAGCAGCTGCAAGACCACTTGGTCTAGAAGTCAACGAGAGGAAAACTAAGTATATGAGAGTTGGTGGTGAGGTGGATCTGAACTCTCCATTTGAGGTAGGTTCTTTTAAGTTTGAGAGAGTGAAAAGTTTTATATACCTTGGGTCTGAAATTAATAGCAAAAATGACATGGCTCAAGAAATACAAAGAAGGATCACGGCTGCCAATAGATGTGTCTATGGACTTGGCCGACACTTAAGAAGTAGGTACCTCTCAAAGAAGACCAAGCTGATCATATACAAGACTCTTGTTCGGCCTGTTTTGACATATGGCTCAGAGGCTTGGACGATGACCAAACACGATGAGATGAAGCTGAGTGTGTTTGAGCGAGGAGTCCTCAGAAGGATTTACGGTCCAGTAAAGGAGGGTGATGTCTGGAGGAAAAGAAAAAATGGGGAGCTCAGTTCTCTCTATGCAGACATCGACGTAGTCACCTATATTAAACTGGCCAGACTAAGGTGGGCAGGGCATGTGGCCAGAATGAGCACCGTTGAGATACCCAAGAAAATAATGATGGAGGAGCTGCACCTCGCAAGACGGGTAGGAAGGCCGAGGACGAGGTGGTTGGACAACGTGGCCTATGATGCGAGAACCCTGCTTGGTGTACGGAACTGGAGAGCTGCAGCAGAAGACAGAGCCAACTGGCGGAGGCTCTTGGAGGAGGTCCAGTCTCGGTAACGGGATGTCGTGCCACACATGAATGAATGAATGAATCAATAAAACAGTTTATCAAGTTTTTGCAGTACTACAAAAAAAGAAATGGATTAAGCCGATGTCGCGAGTGATCCCTTACTTCCACTGCGCGGCGATATGATACCCTTTGTCAAGATCGCTGCGGATTATCGCGCTCTGTAAGACATCTATAACACAACTATATTGACATATCGCCGCGGACAGAAATATTGTATTGCCGAGACATACCGCATTTTGTGTGTAGGTCCTTTACACGATCTATGACCACGGCCTCCTTCCTCTAAATCTATCTGTGTCCATTTACTGTAGTTTTTTTTTTTTTTTTTTTAATTTATATTACTTAAAAGACATTTGAGTGGTTGTGACTCAATATTTCTCCAATTTTTGCAGCCTCACTGAATGCACCTAATATAATATAATATAATACAATATAATATAATATGTGACTTAAAAAAGAACATAGAATAATATCTATGATCACAGGTTATAAGCTGGTAAGACGAAAATGATCTTCGTGAGTTATGTCAGTTGTGATAATTTCAAAAACCTTTCTGACATTGATAATAAGACTAATTATTCATATAACTTAATTAATTGATTTAGTCCAAAAATTGTAATTGAATGTGATATGTAACTGTGCATAAGTTCTACCATTTTTGACTTTATCATTTAGAATTCCTAAAAGAATTACAGAAATATTTCGCTTTATAAAATATTACTATATATTAAAAGAAACAGTACATAAAGGAATTTTGGTATTTAAATTGCTACTAAAATACAAAAAAAAATAAATTTATAAGTAGGGAATTATGTTATAAATATTTGTGAATTGAATAAAAAATGATTGCTGTTTAGGATTTATTTTTAACAATTTCGTTTTGGGACTAGAGTTATTTTTCCTCTAATTATCCTCTAATTACTTCACATGATATATAACATTCTTGTTTATTATTACACTAAATAAATGATACCTAAATTTTTTTTTACGTGTGACATAGCAGCACCTGACTAAAAGAAAGACTTAACAAGTGATCCTCAATATATGGTATTCTGAATCCCAAGCAAACTTCAGCATTCTTTGTGAAATTGGTTCGTAAAGCTTATGATCACGCACAAATCCTTAGCCTTACCGCACGCGTTCTAGGTGAAACTCTTCCTCTCCTTGAGAGAAGGGGGACTGTCAAAACTTTGGAGTTAAAGGATAAGGACTAACGTCGATCTTTTTAGACCGAATTTTAATATTGTTGATGTTTTACTCCTAGAGTTATTTAACCTTGAAAATCAGAAACTACCTACGAAATATCAAATTTGAAGAAACAAGAGACATTTCCGAATTATTTTTAAAACTTTGGGTAACTATAATCACCTCATTGATTTTTTTTTTATAAAAACCATTCAATTGGATTGTTCACTAAAATAATTTGAAATTATTATGATGCTTTATGAAAAGCAAATATTTATTGCCTATACGAAAATGATTAAGATTATTAGTTTATAAGGGGAGTGGGTAAGTCCATCTTGAGATTAAGATATATTTAAAATA